CAGATTTTCTTATTTCCCTTCTGTTTTTTTTTTCTTAAACCCATAGGTTATTTACAAATGTGTTATTTAGTTTCCAAATTTCAGGAGACTTTTTCAGAGATCTTTCTATTAACAATTTCTAAAGCAATTCTATTATGATCCAGTAGCATAGGTAAATGCTTCTTTTTACAGCCTTTTTGAGATATAATTGACTGATTACATCATGTAAGTTTAAGACAAACGATATGATGATTTGATATACGTATATAATGTGGAATAATTGCCACAGTATGGTTAGTTACTATATCCATTATCTCACATCCTTACCTTGTGTGTGTGTGTGTTTGCGTGTGTAAAGCACTTTTAAGATCTACTTTATTGGCAACTTTCAGGTGTATAATGTAACTATAGTCATCATGTTGCATGTTACATCCCCGGAACTTATTCATCTTATAAACAGAAGGTTGTACCCTTTGACGACCATCTCTCATTCCTCCCATCCTCCACCCCTGGCAACCATCATTCTACTCTCTGTTTCTGTGAGTTTGGCTTTTTTAGATTCCACATAGAACAGATTTCTGTTTGATTTATCTCTCAGCATAATGCCCTCAAGGTTCATCCATGTTGTCACAAATGAAAGGATTTCCTTCTTTTATACACACACACACATACCACCACACACACACACACAAATGGATAAAGAAAATGTGACACAGGGCACCTAGGTGGCCCAGTCAGTTAAGCATCTGCCTTTGGCTCGTGTCATGGTCCTGGGGTCGTGCAATGGAACTCTGCGTCAGGTACCTTGCTTAGTGGGGAGCCTGCTTCTCCCTCTCCTCCCCTCTTGTGCTTTCTCTTGTTATCTCTGTCTCTCTCAAATAAATAAATAAATAAATAAATAAATAAATAAAATCTTAAAAAAAAGAAACTGGTACATATATGTATGTACACATATATACATATATTTACATACATATATGCTACATTTTCTTTATTCATCCATCAACAGAAACTTAGGTGTTTATGTCTTGGCTACTGTAGATAATGGTGCAATGAATATGTGGGTGCAGATGTGTCTTTGAGACATTTCCTTCACATCTAAAACCAAAAGTGGAATCACGGGATCATATGATCTCTTTTTAATTTTTTGAGAAGCCTCCATACTGTTTTCCATAATGGCAGTCTCAATTTACATTCCCACTGACTGTACAAAGTGTTTCCTTTTCTCCACATCCTTGATAGCATTTGTTACCTATTGTCTTTTTGAGCATAGTCCTTCTAATAGGTGTGAGGTGATATGTCATTGTGGTTTTGATTTGCATTTCTCTGATGATTAGTGATGCTGAGCATCGTTTCATGTATCTGTAGGCCATTTGTATACCTTCTTTGGGAAAACATCTATTCAGGTCTTTGCCCATTTAAAAATAGGATTATTTGTGTACTGTTGAGTTGCATGAGTTCCTTGTATATTTTGGATATTAACCCCTTACCAGATATTAGGTTTGGAAACATTTCCTCCATTTCATAGGTTGTCTTTTCATCTTGTTGATCATTTCTTTTGCTGTCTAGAGGCATTTTAATTTAATGTAGTCCCACTTGTTTATTTTTCCTTTTGTTGCTTGTGCTTTTGCTATCGTTCTGAAAAAAATTATTACAAGACCAATGTCAAGGAGTTTTTTCCTGTATATTCTTATAGGTATTTTACAGTTCAGAAATCTTACATTTAAGTCTTTAACCTGTTTGAAGTTAATCTTTCAAGTCGTGTAAGGTCCAGGTTCATTCTTTTGTATTTGAATATCTAATTTTCCCAATATTATTTATTAAAGAGGCCATCTTTTTCCCATTGAGCATTCATGGCCCCCGGTCAAATACTAGTTGAACATATATGCATGGATTTATTTCTGGGTTCTCAATTCTGTTCTGTTGGTCTCTGAGTCTGCTTTTATGCCAGTACCTTCCAGTTTTAATAATTACAGCTTTGTAATATAGTCTGAAATTAAAAAGTGTGATAAGCCTCCATCTTTGTTCTTTCTCAAGATTATTTTGGTTATTCAGGGTCAATTTTAGGATTGTTTTCTTCTTTTTTTCTAAAATTGCCACTGGAATCTTGATAGGAACAGAATGTAATCTATAGATGGCTTTGAATAGTATGGGCATTTTAAGAATAGTAAAGTCTTCCAATCCATGAACATAGAATATATTTCCAACTATTTTTGTCATCTTTAATTTCTTTCAAAAATAGTTTTCAACATACAGATCTTCCACTTCCTTTGTAAAATTTATTTTGTAAAACTGGACTATCTTATTTTTTTCAGGTAGTTTGTTGTTAGTGTATATAAAAGCAAATTATTTTTGCATGTTGATTTTGTATCTTGTAACTTTACTGAATTCATTTATTAGCCCAATGGGTAATAGAGTTTTGCAAAGTTCGTGTAATCTATTGTAAAATCTACTTCTGCACCAAGCTTTATCTGTAGACTAATTAAATCTGCACTACATTTCACACATATAAACTACTGTTTTCATATTTTATACTTGTTACGATTAATAAAATACACCTGTGAATGTGTATTTTACAAATCTGCCATAATCGGGGAAAATCTCATTTTCTTTGCTAGGCCATAACTGATTAACAGGTTCTTTTTGTAACCAGTAAGGAGAACATTTAGAAAACTGAACACACCCTACAATACGAGGCTCCAGAAATACCAGCAACTGTCCATTAATCCCATTTCATCCCGGAGAAAGGGTACTTGTCCAATAGTCCCTGTGGCCTCTATGCAGGACAGCAATGGCAATTTCTGAAGGAGGATGGAGGAGGAAATGTGTGTAGGTCACTGGATATAAAAGTTTAAATGTTAGAGAAGAGGTTAGAGAAGGAGACATAGATTTGGAGGACGCAATTATCCTGGGAAATAGAGGTGCTAGAAGAGTAGCATATTGTGAAGGGGCACCCAGGGAAGGAGCTCAAACACAAGTAGAAACAGAGGTCCGGGAAGGTGAGAACTGAAGAGAGGTCACCAAATCTTCCAATGCTGACATCATCCCTGGCTTTGCCAGAACAGCCTCTGTGAAGGAGTGAGAGGTGAAGAAGTGGAAAAAGCAAGGGTGGACCCCTTCTTGAAGGAGCTTGGCCAAGACGGAGGGAATTGCTGGAAGGAGACACAGGATTAAAACAACCCCCCCCCCAAGGATAGGAAAGGAGTATGTTTTTAGCTTGAGGGAGAGGAGCTGGTGGAGAGGGACCAGTTGCAGATTTGGTAGAGGGTAAAGATAAATGATGGAGCAAAGCCAAGTCATGGAAGAGAAGGGAGAGGATGAGATTAAAAGCTCTGTTAGGAATAGGTGCCTGCAAGAAAGGAGGGCACCGGTAGGGATAATAGAGACAGGGCTGTTGAGGGAGTTCAATAACCTTCTGTGGAGGTAAGCAGGTGGGAGAAGAGTGATGAAGACTTCTAATAGTTGCAGAGAAGGAAGGACACAGAAGAAGTAGAAATCTGTGGGACGGGGCTGAGGGTGAATTGGGTTGGAGGTCCTGAATGTACTGTGGTACGAACCCATCCTGCACATAGATCAAGGGCTATACAATCCCACAAAGAAGGAACTCCAGATTTCAATACTAGGTTTCCTATGCTATGTTCAAGAGTACATACCCCGTGGTAGTGCATCCTAGCAATTTCATTTTATGTGCTAATTGCATTCTTCCTTCAGCCCTTCCTCTCTTCTTCCTTCTCTCTTGCTCTCTTCTACTCCTACAAGTATGAATTTTCTCTGCATTTGTTACTCTTTGTTAGTTTGGGTCATTAAGGAAAAATGAAACTTTTTTAAAAAAATAGATTTTATTAATTTATTCATGAGGGACACAGAGAGAGGCAGAGAGATAGGCAGAAGGAGAGGCAGGTGGGGAGCCTGATATGGGGCTTGATCCCAGGACCCCGAGATCACGACCTGAGCCAGAGGGAGACTCCCAATCACTGAGCCACCCAGGCGTCCCAAAAATCAAACCATTTACTCTTTAAAAAAAAAAAATACTTGTTTATTCATGAGAAACACACAGAGACGGAGAATGGCAGAGACACAGGCAGAGAGAGAAGCAGGCTCCATGCAGGGAGCTGGACGAGGGACTCGATCCCAGGACTTAATCACGTCCTGGGCCAAAGGCAGGCGCTTAACCTCTGAGCCACCCAGGGATCCCCAAAATCAAACCATTTAAATGAAACTTGTCAGGAAGCTCAGGACCCTGGCGCAAGGGGCCGGGAGAGGTGTGGGGCTTCAGAACAGTGTCCCACGAGCAGCTTCTCTTTAATGGCAAGGGTTCAGTCTGTCTCTAAATTTCTCCAAGTCTCCAAGCCTGGCGTATTGGGAGTCTACTCAGTCAAGGATGAACTTCAAGAGAAATTGAGTGTATAGGGAAATGCAAACACTCTGCCTTTGTGGAGATTTAAAAAAAAAAAAAAAGGTTGACCGTAGTAATGGATAGCCGGGTGACTTTCCGTTTTAGAACCCTACCCGTCTAGTCAATAGGTGCATTATGCAAAACTGGATACATTGCATCACTGTGAAGGACTTTAGACTGCGGTTTGCAGAAGCAGAATAAATTTTCTCGGAGTCGCACCGTTATGTACACACACACACACACACACACACGCGCGCGCGCGCGCGCAGACTCACGCCCACTGGCAGCGACGGCCGCACCTCGCAGCTCTAGGGGCAGCCGCGGACCCGAGCTCCACGAGCGGAGCCCGGGCTGCAGGAACTTTCTGCGGGACTCGGGACGCACGCCCCCCCGGGCCCCCCGCGGCCGTCGGCGAGCCGGAGCCCCCGGGAGCGGGAGCGCGGCGGCAGGTCCGCGGGGCGCGGCGGCGGCGGCGGCGGCGGCGGCGGGAGGCTCGGGGCTGCAGGGCCCGCGGCCAGTGTGCGCGCGCCAGCCGGCCCGGGCAGCCGCATCCCCCGCCGGGCCCTCGCCGCCCGCCCCGGCCCCGGCCCCCGCCCCGGCCCCGGCCCCGCGCCCTCGGGCCGCCATGGCCGCGCGCCGCGCCGCCGCCCTCGCCTGCTCGCTGCTGCTGCTGTCCGCCGCGCTGCTCCGCCGCGGCTGCCGGGCGCGCTTCGCCGCCGAGCCCGACTCGGAGCCCGACCGGGCGGAGGCGGCGGTGTTCCCCGAGTCGCCGGTGCAGAGACCCACGGTGCTCGTGGCCGTCCTGGCCCGCAACGCCGCGCACGCGCTGCCTCCCTTCCTCGGCTGCCTGGAGCGGCTGGACTACCCCAAGGGCAGGATGGCCATCTGGTGAGCGCGCGGGGACCGAGGGGCACGGCCGCCCCCCCCCCGCCCCCCCGGGCCCCCGAGCCCCCGGGCCCCCGAGCGCGCGTGCGGGTGCGCAGCGCGGGGCCGCGACCCTTCCCACGGCGAGGGTTTGTGCGGAGCCCGCAGGAGCGCCGGCTGAGCCCCCTTCCGACCCGACCGTCGCTCCCGCCCCATCGCCCTGAGCTCCGGGGGTGCGCATCACCGCCTGGTGCTCCGGGCGCGGCGGGAAGCGGATTGCGGTCGGGAAGGGCGCTCGGGCGCGGCCAGGTGGGGGACGGGGCGCCGCCCTGGCTCCCCGGCGCCTGGCTCCCCGGCGCCTGGCTCCTGCTCTCGCCGGAGACCTTGGGGCAGTGGCGCCTGGTTCTCCCGGGGATGGTGGGGGCGGAGGGTGGAGAGGAGGGACGGACCCAGACTTGGAGGTTAGGTGGGGCCCGCCGTGTGCTCCCACCCGCGCCGCCGCCGCGGGGCCCCGTCGCTTCCGACGGCTCCGGGCCGTCCCCCTGGGGCTCATTCCTCGCCGCAGATGCAAACCACGCGGGGCGCCCCCGGGGTAGCATCCTGGGGACCGAGCCGCCTTCCAGAAGGCAGACGGCCGAGGGCTACTGCCCCGGGACAGAGCCCCGCGCCTGGTACTGTGTTTGTTGCAGGGAGAACCGGGACATCAGTGCGAGGGGCTGGCCCGCACCAATTTTAGAACTCGGTCTAGTCCCGCACCTTCCAGAGACGCAGGTATCAGAGGGCGAGAAGTTGGGAGTCAGGGGAGCCGCTGAAAGGCCGGCGGCGGAGGAGGAGGTGCGCGCTGGCCGGGGCGGTAGGCGCCCAGGAACGGGGACGGGAGGACTGCGGTCCTCCGAGGAGGACAGAGCCCGGGTCACCCCGGAGCAGCTTCTGTCCTGCGTTGATAAAGGGAGCTGGCCTCGGACGGGACACGTCCTTCAAGCTGCGGTTGGGCGGAAATGAGAGAAGGGAGGATAAAGCCGTAGCTGAAATTGGCAGCCGAACTGTACCTGGTGGGAGAGGAGCGGAGGTGAGAAAGCAAACAGGAGATATAGTGCGGCACTGTGCTATACACTGCTTTACTATTACCCTGTTATACGTGACTGCTGCCACGGAGAAGGGCACGTTATGTGGAAAGGGAGACCCGTGGTGCAGCCAGGTTTGCAACCAGAAGGAAGAAGGATTTTTTTTTTAACCACTTCAATACCAAAGAAAATTGCACAAATGTCAGTTCTTAGATGCTTTCTTCAAAAACAGATGTTTTACGATAGGGTCTTGGTCTTTATGCATTGCTTGGTTTTAAGGAACATCACAATAGTTGCTATAGGAAGTCGGTGAAGGGTGAACCAGGTAGGAAGGAGGCACAGGTTTTGCTACCTGATGTACAGACATTGCTCTCTTCTGCCGCATGGTGAAGTTTTAAAAGATATACTAGGATCCCTATTTTACAACTGAAGCAACTGCGACTTCCATCAGGTCAGTCACTCAAAGTCACAGAACTAATAAACGGTGAAACTGGAATTGGAAACCAAGTTTGTGCCTAAAGTCTGCCCTAAACAGATAGTGGTGGGAACATAATAAGAACAAAATTTATTAAAAAAAAAAAAACAAAAAAAAAAAAAAAAAAACCTCTAGGCTACAAATTAGGAGGCAAGTTGTTCGTCACTAGCTTGATATGTGGCTTTGGGCCAGTTGCTTGGGATCCATAGACATCAATTTCCTCATCAGTGACATGAAGGGATTGGAAGAAATAATTCCAAATTCTTTCCAGCTCTTCAATTCCATTGATTGTATGATGTGATCAGAATCAAGCAAAAATGATTGTGCACCCTGAGTCCTCTGGGTGTTCCTTATTTTGTGGGTGTTGATGTTCTTTTCAGTTGGCTAGTATTCCAATTCTTCATTGACTTTTGGAATCTATTTTCCCTTAACCTTGTTAGTAGTCCATGTAACTGTACCTTGTTCCTTACGGCCAGTGTTGCAAAGTTAAGGATTTGAATAGGCCTTGGGCAACCACCGCATTAGGCACTAAAGACTTCTCTTTGAGTTCTGGTTTTGTATCATTTATTAGGTAATAATAACCAACAGGTCAGTGTAAAAGTAGTCCTTTAGGGCTCTCAAAGTACTTTCATTGACTATGTCATCTCATTTGATCCATTCTACAAAGAAATAAAATTATCTCTGTTTTCTAGAAGAAGACATTGTATCTAAAGTAACTGACTTACGACTACACTGATTTATTAATGTCATAAATACTTAATAATAAGAGCTCACAGTTATTCTAAGCACTTTACATTCACTATAAGGTATATATACTATGATTATACCCTTTTACAGATGAGAAAACTGAGGCACAGAGAGGTTGTGCAAGCACACATCCCTGATGACCATCTTTTGTGAGATCAAGGCACTATGCCTTGTTCTAACTGAAAAAAAGTTGAGTAAGATGTGGCTTCTCGCAGACAAATGTGGCTCTTTCTAATGAGCACTGTAAGATGATCTCAGTGGCATGTGTAGGGGAGCGACAAAGGACTTCTAAATAAGTTTGGGGGCAGTTGTATGGTCATGGAAGCCTTCTTGAAAAGAGTTGACACTTAGTTGGAACCTGGCTTTGCAATACAAATAGGAATCCACTAAAACGTGGGAAGTAAGGAGGCTTCCAGAAAGAGAGAAGAGTGAGGGGGCAAAAAAAAAAAAAAAAAAAAAAGGCACTGGGGCATTAACCAGAGTTTCCTGTCAGGGGCAATAAAACAGGTGGTAGGCTAACTGACTGCAAATCTCCAAACTCATTGCATTGCACCACCGGAGCTGCTCACTTTGAGACTGGCACTAGGTGAATATTTGGCTGTGAGGGGCAGATTACCCTCCAGGAGGAAGCGCTAACTCAATTTAGGATGCTACTGCTTTGAGGAGCTTCTGCCAATGACTTCCTTTTAGTCTCTCAGTTTCAAGTTCTACTCAGTGTTCTGAGGTGCCAAACTGACTCGTATCCACTCTGCAAAGCCAGCATAACACTAATGTCAACGATGGTCATGTAAAAAATGGTATTAGCTACTCAGAACTTCATGCAACAGAATCGGGTGGAGTGTAGAGTCTGGGCTGCCAGCTTCCATTTAATCTTATCTCTGGAGCTCTGTGCACACTCAGTCTTCTTATTTATCTGCTAACCTATAACACTGGCTAGAGGAACATCTGATAAGACTTCTTTTCTGTATGAGTGAGAGGTGTGGTTCATTGAGCACATTCAGACTTCCCAATGCTGTCACTCCCCACCCCCTCCCCCCCGAAGTTCTGGATCATATTTGCAGTCAGTTACCAATAGATTGCCCCACAAACTTTTACTGTCAGAGAATGAGTATAGTTATCTCAATTAGCATTAGATTTATTTGGATTAGATTGAATGAGGGGAAGAAGTTTGTGTTTTAGAGAAGCTTTATTTTTTTATAATAAATTTATTTTTTATTGGTGTTCAATTTGCCAACATACAGAATAACACCCAGTGCTCATCCCGTCAAGTGCCCCCCTCAGTGCCCGTCACCCATTCACCCCCACCCCCTGCCCTCCTCCCCTTCCACCACCCCTAGTTCGTTTCCCAGAGTTAGGAGTCTTTATGTTATGTCTCCCTTTCCTATTATTTCCCACACATTTCTTCTCCCTTCCCTTTATTCCCTTTCACTATTATTTATAGACCAGGCAAAGGGAAAACTTGTGACACTTACCTGTTGATCTCAAAACCCCAGCAAAGCAAATTGTTTTCCTTCAAGTATCATAACGGTGATAAGGAACTAGGTTGTTCCTTGTGTTCTAATTAAGACCTGTGCTGAGTTCGTGGGAATCACTGCTGTGCTGAGATGAAGGGAACCATCCGGCATGTGGCAGTGCACTGCAGTGGGTGCGCTTTTCTTCAATGGAGCCATGAACGGTGGCCTTAGTAACAGAGGGAAGACTGACCTCATCTCCCTTCCCAAACCTATGATTAAGGGGAGGAGTGCCAAGTTGCCATGATAATGAAAAATGGAGCAGGGCACAAGGAAAAACACTTGACCCAAAAGGCACTTTAAGTTTGTCTTTTGGAGTTTACCATTGCTTGTGGGAAGACAGTGGGGATCCAGAGTTGGGAATTCAGAGTCTGTGCCATCGTAGGGCAGTAACTGCCGTGTAATCATAGAACGATTTGGGAATTTCATTTGGTAGAGCTCTGAAAAGTAGGAGACTGCATTGGGAACCATGGTATGGCTTTCTAAATCAAGAGATGGTTTTCTGTTGACATCAAGATAACCACGGTAGGCCTCCGCTTGTTCTGGGATGCCAATCCCAACATTTTGCACACTACTTCATTGCTGCAGTATTTGGATGATTCTCCACTTCTTGATGTTCAACCAGTAGCATTTCGGTGAATGTTTAACTAGACACAGTAATATAAGTATGTTTATAAAATATTTCAATCTACCACTGTAGTTTCAGCACCAGCAAGAATAATGTCAGATTGTATCTTTACAGTCTTGACATTCAGTGCTTATGTTATCCCTCTGGAGGGAAGTTTCAGCTCTTGGATGAAAAACTCTGATACTTTGATCCCCTTCTCTCCATTGGTCTGTTTTCCTCACTTTTCCACCCTCTTTTTCTTATTCTCCCCCCACCCCCACCCCCGCCACCTGGTGGTTTAGTAGTATGGAGGAGGGAGTATCCAAGATTACAGTCAGGTATGCTAGGGTTTGAATCTCCTGTGTGATTGTGGGCACATCAGTGAATCTCTAAGCGGAGCTTCTTCATCTGGAGATGACCAATATTAACACCTACCTCGAAGAGTTTTTTTTTTTTTTTAAGTTTTTAAACAAATGAAATAATGTATGGAGTATGTCTTCGTGTAAATGCTACTAAATAGATGATAATTGCTATTTCCTAGACATCTTTCCCTTTTGGTTCCGTCTCCTTTTCCTTTCTCTTTCCAAATGAAGATTTTCAAAACAATAGATTCACAAGGA